GCTGGCCATATTAATGGGGTGGCCGCATTACCAGGATTTCCTTGTGAGAAAATGTCTGGGCATTTCGCCGGGACAAAATAAAGTGGCCATAATAACGAGGTTACCGTATTAACGAGGTGACCATAAGGCAGGGTTCCACTGCACAAGCAAAGTGGATAACTTCTCTGCAACTCCTAAGGCAGTCTACATTTCTCTTGCATCCTTAAATACTACAATGGTTGCAGAGGATAGCAAAACAAAGCAAAGGAGGAAAATGACTCTTAGGAGCTATGTAAAGCAGCAAATGTTGCATTTGAACCTAAGCTACTAATCCTACCTGAATCATCAGTTGAAAATACTAAAAATAATGTGCTTTACTCTTGATTTAAAGAATCACTGAAAAATATTGTTATCAGAATAAAAGCCCTGATTCTCCTCTCTTAAGTACCAGCACTGAAACTAAAAGTGCAGGAAGTCAAGTACCCAACATTAAAAAAACTTACATTGTTCTTTAGCATGAGCTTTAGCTCAGGGATATAACTGATTGCTCCAACGGCACCAAGGAGATTGACACAAAAATCAAAAACTTGTAAACAGAAGAAAGGTAGAAGATAACTGGGCTGACGCTGAAAGATAAAACAGGACAAGATCAACTGACACCAACACTTCTGTATGTACAGCTGTAGTGATGCATATCAAAAAGATGAGACGCATAATAGCAAAAACTCTTTCTTATATGATTCAGTTTTAATCTATCCTCATGATGCCCAAGGCTATAAGAATGTTGAAACATATTATCAGTTGTCTTGGTAACCAATTGAACATACTGACCAACATGCACATCTTTTTCCAATAGGTTCGAGCCAAACATCAGCTATGCATGTTTGTCTTGAGTACTAATTGAACTGCATTATAACAGCAAGATCTATTATATACCCCTCCTAATAATATAAGGCAGTAGCTTTTGTGATACCAATGCAATGGGAAACAGAATTCAAACTTACAGTGATAGCACCATAAATCAGCAGAATGGTGATCAGAAAGGAACAAAATGCTATAGCCAATGCAACTGAGTTGTCAGCTGAAAACAAAGGGTAAAAAATATTAGCACAACAATAAATAACTAACTACAGCCAACTCTCATTACAGAGACATCCTTGGGGACGTCGTCAAGTGTCCGTAATAGCAAGAGTCCGTAATAGCAAGGTGTGAGATAAAAAGTGCCCTTAATATGCAACAAATAACATAGACAGTGTCTGTGAAGTTATCTTAAATCTTTAATGTATTAAAGAATTGATGCGAAAATAACCATTCCAGAAGTCTTTTGAAGTGTCTTTTGACAAATGATGACCAGCAGACTGTAATTTTACATAATTACGTTATGTGAGAAGTACATGGTGTCCGCTTTATCGATAGTCAAAACAATAAAATTGTCATTTTGGTACCACGAAAGTGTCCCTAAATCTGTAATAGCAAGAGTCCATAATAGCAGGAGTCATTTCCAGTCAAACCTCTATAGTTTTCGCCAGGGATCTGGATTTTGTCGGTAACAGCAGGGTGTCTGCAAGGCGAGAGTCAACTGTATTGGCAAAAGGGCTTGTTTTAACATTAGTAAAGAAGAACAATGATACACTTTTAAAAAGACCATTTGGACAAGATTACAGAACAGGACCAAACAAAATACGACACATAATTTTCTCTTGCCTCGTGAAACTTTTGGATTTTGAAAATTTTTTTTTTGTGGAACAACTTGCATAAAACTCATGAAAAAAATACTTTGCACATAATATAGCTGGTAAGTAAAGGAGCTCTAAATTATCCCTCTGTTTGTCAACAAATTCCACTTCTTAATCAGTAAGGCAAATATTTACTTCCTCCACGAATAATTTGGGTACATGTTCATTTATTGAAACAGGAGCATACATTTCTTCCAAGAACTAAAAAGTAAAAGTGCCCTTCAAGGCTGAGACGCATTTGCACATAATTTGTAACACAGCACAATCCAAAAAGAGAAGTACAAGGAAAGTAGTGTTGATGCTATGTTCCTCCTCTAACCAAACAATCACAGAGATCATGAATGACATAGAAACAGACTAAACAAAAGCAAGATACATTGTAATGCTGGACCATTAGGTATTCTGGGCAGGTGTCATTTACCAGATAAGCTACATTAACAGGATAGATGGATGCCTACTACCTGTGTTAAGGTTACTTTAGACCTTCAAGGAATAATTAATACTTTCTTTGCAGGCTTTAAAGCAAACCTCAATAAACTATGTATCATGAAATAGGAGTCTGTGGATGAGATTGACACAAAATTTTTACTGCTCAACTCAGTGGTTGACACATTCTAACTGGCTTATCACAGTTTGTGGATCATTGAACTGTTCTGAAAAATCATGTTTTTGAGGATAACTCATTTATGTTTCAATTTTCTTGAAATATTTTTCTAGAAAATTCTGATTAGGTTCTTGAATTTGGTGTAAAAAAATGTTTTGGAAGAAATCGGGCATTGAAGGTCTATAGTAACCTTAACTACTGCACAACAGAGCTCAAAGATGTACCTGATCGAGGGGTTGTGCCATAAGTTTCAAAATACCTCTCTTCATACAATTCTGGATGTAGAAGCATCTGAGTTAACACTACTACTCCAGCAATGTGGATCAACTAAATAAAAACAACACAATCAATGAGTTTTGCTACTCTGAGTATACATTATTGGTGTGATGTTCTAATTGGGCGCAAACATGATACCTTTGGTTGAAAAACAACTGAAGTTTTACAGCCATTAAGCAAACATTCCTGCTGAAGCTTGACTTCACTTGAAGTTTATTAACAAACATGCACGCAACTTTAAAACTCGCCTTCTTAAATGTAAGGATTTAAGAAATAGCAGGAGTCATGGGACTCTTGGGATTGTGCACAAGTAGGATTATCTTATAAACATAGAATACAGTCTTGAAAACCTTTGTGTCTTTCGTTCTTTGCCATGGCTCAGTGAAATTTTACGGACACTATTTGACGACAAGATTTTTCCTTTTGGTTTAGTCAATACACATAGCAATGAAACATAGTACAAATGAGCAAAAAACTCATACAATATGACATATAAGCTTAAACAGTAACAAATTTGGTGGAACCCAGTTTTACCTCCAAATTAACTTTAGTAATCTACTTAATGGGTGATGTAAGCTTAGCAATCGTATCTTTTTATTGACGGCACAAGGTATACGTATAACTTGATAAAAAGAAATTTTAGCTTATTATTGAACAGTTCTAAATCTGACGGGCAATTCAGGTGAACTAAGATTAAGGTGATTCCCTAATATTGCACTGCACATCCCTACTGCACACGATTTTTGCGTCATTAGCACGCGCACATGAGCGCGTGTGCACACAAAACGTAAGAGATTTCCCTCAAACTAAGTTTGATAGTAAAATAAATGCTCGTTTGCTCTTAAACGAGCACGGTGACCCCTACTTTTTATATCATAAATTCAATGATAACAATATCCTCAATAACTGAGAAAAACATTGGCGGAAATCTATGGCTACTTTTTTGGCAAATGAAATAAATACTACAGAGGGAGACATAACGGGCCCAACAGCACATGTCCAAATTATGTTTCCTATAAA